TCGAAGGTTCAACGCGCAACCATCAGTCATCAAGGTTCAGTTGCAGCCCATCCCTCAACAACCGAAAAACCGAGCACTACCTGTGGTTGTGGGAGGAAATTTTATGTGTCGGCAATAAGTGATTTTACGAAATAAGTGGTGGATTTTGACGATCTCTTTCCTAGTCCCTAAACTATCCTTTTTCATATTTTGGATTTGGGGCAGGAGTTTTGTTTGAGAATTATATAAATTTTGGGGATTTGATTGCAATTTCAAAAACTTAAAGAGTTATTGCAATTAGATCCTTTGGTTCAATCTAAAATTTATTTAAAGTTTGATAGGTGGCTCTTTGGTTTTTATATTATAAAATTAATGCACATTTAATTTATATCTTATGCATATTTTAGTAATAAATAATGCGTGCTTAATTGAGAATAAAAAGACATATTTAATTTATAATGCATATTTAGTTCATTCATTGTGCATATTTTGATAGGAAGAAATGCATTTTTAGTTTATCATAGTGCTTATTTAGTTTATTTAAAATCCAATCATAGCCATTTATTTGTGTACATGAATGAATCATATTAATCAATTGAAATTTACATTAATTATATAATAAAGAATATTAATTGTTATATTTACATTAATTATATAACATGCACATTTAATTGCAAATTTTCGCTGCACATTTAGTTAATTCAAAATGCACCTTTAATTCATACTTAGTGCATATTTAGTTCCTATATAGTGTATAATTAGTTGATATTATTGTTGAATATTTATTATAAAATTATTTAATATACTATTTTATTGTTTTTATTATATAATTAATGCAATACATAATGCATATTTAGTTTATTTATTATGCATATGTAGGTCATCATAGTCATATTTATTATATTTAAATTAATTATATACATAATACATATTTAGTTAATAAGAAATACATATTTAGTTCATCATAGTGCATATTTCTATATTTAGATTAAAGATATACATAGTGCATATTTAGTTCATTCATTATGCATATTTAGTTCATACGAAATGCATATTTAATTCATCATAGTGCATATTTATTATATTTATTATATGGATAATGCATATTTAGTTTATTAATTATGCATATTTAGGTAATAAGAAATACATATTTAGGTCACCATAGTGTATGTTAGTATATTTAAATTAATGATATACATTATAGATATTTAGTTCATTAATTATGCATATTTAGGTAATAAAAAATGCATATTTACTTTATACATAATACATATTACAATTAACGGTCAACGTCAGAAGTCAACAGTGAACGTCATAAGTCATGGGGTCTCAACGGCCAACATGAAAGTCAATGGTCAAAATAATATGTAAATACTTAAAATAAAAAATAAAAGATTAAAACTTGTCCACACATCTCGATTCATATTTAAGAGCTAGAATTTAGTCACACATACTCATTTTAAATATGTGGACTCACTGAAACCAATCCACACACACACATATATATATAATCATTTTTTAAAAGTATAAGGAAAATATTTTTTTTTATTATAATGATTAATGAAAAACAACTCAAATTCAATTATTTATGTGTATAAAATGGGATGTAATTTATTTTGTAAAGCACTGGTTGTAACGCCATGCGTCTACGGTATTTAATAACATATGAATAACAAACTAAAAAATATTAATTGATACAAAATATATCAGTTATGTCATAAACTCATGCTAGTATAGTCATCGTGTCAATTGCATAATCAAATATTTAATTTTAAATTTTTAAAATTGTTATATTTATTTTTTATAAGTATGCGTAAAAGTAGAAATAATTAATTTATCTTTAGATATAGAATTTGTAATCTTTATAAATTTTATTTCTTATATACATTTACTACATGAATCGCATTTTTTTTCATAAAGTTAAAAATGTTTAAAGAAAATATGTAAATTTATTTGAAATTAAATTAGGTTACTGTCTAGGTTGATTGAATGATTTTTAGGTTATATTTAAAATAGTCCAAAAAATGACACAAGTAGAGTTGATCTCGGGTGACTAATTTATAAGTCAGTTTGGATAGAACAAATCGATTATTAAAACTAAATTTAAAATTAAATAGTAAAGATATTTTTACGATAAATACAATGTAGTCCAAACTTCAAATAATCATATTAAGAGCGCTTTCATAACATGTTCAATGATTTTATGAATATTTATATCTCAATTTTATTATTATTTATATGAACAAGATGATATTGTATTACAATTTTTTTATTATTTATATCTCAATTCAAGGTTCTCATAACTGGACGGTCATCGAAGCGATCAAGTTATTTATCCAACAATTTATTGGTTGGACCGAAATTTAATTTTAATATATATATATATATATATATATATATATATATGAAGTACTTTTTGTAATAAAATTATATAATAAAATATAAAATAAATAAATCTCCATTTGGTTAAACATGCATTTTTATTTTTATTACAAATATTTTTAAATGTAAAAATTTATTTCTAAAGTCGTATCAATCCTATCAGTCCGAATGACTGGTGTTGATCAATTCATTGGCAAACATATTATTCAAGGAACCAAACCGATCGATAAACCGATTCTCAATCCATCTGGTCGGACTTTCCAATTAGGCCAGGTTTTAAAAACAATGTGTAAATCATGAATAATGTAATTTATTGATTATATGTTTAATTTTTAATACAATCCAAATATTGTTTCCTTCTGTATTACACGAACCACGTACTAATTTTGTTGGAAAATACGTACTAATTTTGTTGGAAAGTATTTTCACCCGTTCATTAATTCTCTTTCTCTGTTCATTAATTCTCTTTCTCCGTTCGTCCTTTTGACACTAACTAATTTTTCATTGTTCAGTAGCACCTTTTTTTTTGTTGTAATCATCAATCTAAATTGTTTCTTGAAGTAATACATTGTATTTTTCAGTTGTAAATTCTTAGGGGTGATTGTTTATCAATTCAACAAAAAAAATAAAAAATAAAAGAAAAATCAATCAAAATTCAAATTTAACTTAACCACACTATCCTCAACATTATCAATATAATTAAACAATATCAACAAATCATTCTTACACATCACATCAACTTTTATTCACTATTCATCCATTCACATAATTTTAACTAACCATCACTTCCAATCATTTTTCTCATACTTTATATCAAATCAATATTAGTTATTTTATTTAAATGTTATTTTAATATATCCACTAACAACTAACTATACCACATTTTTTTTAAATTAACTATAGTTAAAAAACAAACCAAATAAAAACCAGTTGAATCCATAAACATTAAACAATCATCCCCTTAATGCCATTTGTACAGGTCACACAGATGAAAAGGTCGGACATGAATACAGTTCAACTCCGTTCATGGATAACTCAGAGAAATTCAGCAAAAAGGGTAAAGATGAAACAGAAACTGAAACAATGCAGGCTAGTCTACATAGTTGACGTCGAGCATATCCCCTCCAAGCACAAAACCAACAGGTATACCAAAAGCTTTACATTTCAGGCGGATAAGGAGCTGTGAAGCGGTCTATCAAGTGAAGGTCCACCTTCAGCCAGCTGGGTGCGCCTATAAGGAAGACTTTTCATAGATTGACTTTGGACAGTTTAGTCTCCACAGAAATTCAATAAGCCTTGTACGCATACATATATCTACGAAGTTTCCTAATTTCTTCTGATGATTCATCAAGTAAATGGTCCACATAAAGGCACATTCCAGCTCCACTGCAATTCAAAAGAGCAGTATCTCAATCAACAACCTTAACCATACAAATTAATCCAGACAAAACAATAAAGAAAAGAAAAGAAAAAGAAAATGTATGACTTGGGTCCTACAAGAGTGGTGTCCAAGGAAGCCAAATGATATCCCACCTAAACTTTGTCAATCTGCAGCAGCCATGTACACTGAATTAGGGAAATTGGCATGGTGGGCAACCTTATGCATCCAGTGACTTTTCTGAAATTCTTAAGATGTAATTAATATGTTAAGTAAGGTAGTTTAACAAAGTTTAGCATGTTGGTCTAGTGCCAACTCGCTAGCCAATGGCAAGCATCAAACCCATTAATCTGCGGTTGGAAAAAATTGGTAAAATTAATGTTGTAAATCTAATGTTAAAATCTAACAACACATAACATAATCCAAGTACACTGAAGAGACTCACTTAACTATGGAAGATGTGCCAATGAAATTTCTGTTATTAGAATTACCAGTTTACCTGAGCATGTGGTACCACCAGTATACAGCCAATAGTGTACTGGGGAAAAAAGAGCACCAGAGGCAAAGGCGATGATGTCTTGAGATGTGCATCAAGCCACTAATGACCAATAAGCATATGAAAACAGTTGCTACCTCTGGAAAATAAGTTTCAAGTCACAGTCTATAGGTGAAAAATACATCAGAAATGGCCACCAAATGTAAAACATTTTGAGTATTTCATCTCCAATGTGGCGGCCATGTTTTATCGACGATGTCATTTCATGTTGCAAATTGATCAGAATAATGGAAGAAAAGTCCTATATAAGTGCAAGAGTAATCCTAGTGATTTGTGGTCTATAAATCCCCAATCTCTGGCGCAATCCATGTACAAAGCCACTAAGATGTAGTTAAGAGATAGTTTGGATGCCAACTTTGTGGTCTTTACCATATTCATCTAATATTTTCAGGTGACATGTGCGCAACAGGTTTAGGAGAAGCCGAGATAATCAATGGGTGAAACTTGAAACACATTTACTGAAACAAAATATGAGAACGCTGAAGAGTAAATTAGCATATGGAATAAAAATGCTCATAGACTGTTACGTAAACTTAAGTCGAGAAAAAGAAGCTAACCTGCAGCTATAATGCTCCATGAATTAACCTCATACATGAAGTATGCATGATAACGCTGCACACATAAATTGGAAAGAAGCCATTTTTGGATCAATATCTGGCCAGTGGTATAACTCACATAAAAATAGATAAAACTAAATTATTTTACCAAATTCTTCTTCAGAAAGTAAAACGGTAACAGTATCCTGAAATTTATTACAACAAAGGGAAGCCTTCACAATGCCTACACAGCTCCTAAGAAGTAAACACTCCATGCTATGAAATCGATTGTTAGGACTTCCCTATGTCAATATGAAAACTAGCGGTACATTCTTTCATAGCCCTCAAGCGTCATTGTTAGGCGCTATATTCTGGCAAGTGGCATGTACTTTACAATTTACAAAAAAATTGATCAGTTAGTAAAGAATAAAGAAAGCATCAAATGAGTCCAAAAAAAAAAAAAAAAGAAAATTATAATAATAAATCAATATTGATCAAGCCTGTTCACAGATGAGTAATGAAAACAACAAACCAAGAGAAGAATAAAGCATATTACCAACTCCCATGGAGAATAAGCTTGCTGATAGATGGAGTAAATGAGGAAAATCGCATAACACGAAAGCAGTCCAGCGAACACACACTACAACAATCAACAAAATCAAACATTGTCGAAATTCAACCTAACCACATCCAAAAATGGCCACAGCATCAATTGGAACATGAAAAGTAGAGTAGAGAGAGAAGAAAAATAATAGACAGATTCTTATAGAACACGTACTCTCCACAGAAGAGACTGTTGAGATTGACTCTTCTCCAATGACCGAATTAGTTCCTCTTGCTCTGCGTATATACAAAAGTGAACACTCCAAATTTCAATTTATAATGATCAGGTACAGAAATTGAGCGACCTTGGGTGTCAATTGGACGGGAATCGTCGCGGGTAGGAAGAGAATAATCGTCGCCATCCACTTTGCCGGCTGATTTCCGCCATTGCCTCGTGAGTTTCTGCATCAGCTATTTGATTATTTCTATTTCGTGTTGTTTTGTTCAATACCTATTACGTAGTATATAATAAACTTCGAAATGTATGAACTTGAAATTTTTTAGAGGCGTCTAGACCACTTGAAAATATCTGATTCGTCCAACTGCCCCGTTTTAACTTCGGCCGGCGTGACTTTTAGGCAACTCAATAAAATTCGGAGTGTCGGGTTACTCGTATTTGGAAGTCAGGTAAATTCTCTTTTTTTTTTTTTTTGGTCAAGGCAAATAAATAAATATATAACTCAAACACAAAAGACTAGTACAATAAGTAATCAAATAATTAAAGACGTCGGAATAATCAAACAAAGACAACCCAAGAGTCACGAGAAAGAGTAAATTTTTCCCCTCAAATACCAACCAGATCAAACCAAATTAAAAAAATTAAACAAGAAACAACATTACAAGTAAAAAAAAAGAACCAAAGTTTCCTCGACACAGAAGAAACACAAATAGTAGCATTATTGTTCAAAGCTTTCATAGCTTCAACATTGTTCAGGTATCAAATGCAAGATTTCCATTTAAGATATTTTAACTTCAGCGGACTCCATATGAAAGCTAACAATGCAGCCTCAGTTGCACATCTTGTTCCTGCTATAAGTCCTTCCCAATGGATCTATTTATAGTATTTGCAGCGATATACGCTACTGCAATGTCTCATTCTTCATATAACTGAGCACTGATGGTCAACCATGACCTACCTAATCTCTATGGGACTTCATTTGAATTGGGCTCTCTTCCATTGTCCAGCTTCTATGTTTCCCACTCTAACCATTCTGATTGTGCTCTCGCCACTAAGTCCTTCTCATATATCTAATCCCCTTTGAAGACCCACTTATTTCCGGCCTACTGATATAGCGTTTGGAATGCGACCTGTAGAAAGCTCGTTGTTCGAGTTTGACCGGCCGAGCTAAAACCGAGTCTAGCATACCAGTAATGTCAGTATGGGGAATAAGGGCGAGCTCAGCCCAAGCGGTGGGGACCGAGGTGGCCACTGGGTGATTTAAGCTATCAAAGATTAGCACGGTAAGCTAGCAGGGGGAACTGCTTGGGAGTAGCTCGGCATGAATGAGGATTTGGACAGTGATGGCCGGGCTACCATTAGCAGAGAGCCGAGGTGGCATGTCATTTC